TTTTTTTAGCATGCTTTCTTTTCAGACCCTATGGAACCGTGACACAAATGCTGCCCGTACATCCGCCGCCTATTCCTTCATATGAACTAATAATGGTGAACGCCTAGAAGAATTTCACAGATCTGAAGATAGAGACCGATATGGAGGTGAAGAATTGCCGTTCGCAGTAGCTACTTCGGGAGTAAGTCGGATGCATAGGGTGGAACGGCCCGATGATTGCATACTGCGTCTGTAAAGTTTATTCGGACACTTTTTTTGAGTACCGTAATAGTAAGTAAATTATCTGGTCTGACTGCATTGCATCACTTATGCTCCGGACTTACAACAGTTCTCTTTCCTAGTTTCTACTAATATGCCTATGTGTTATAACCAAAGATTTCAAAGCTTTAACCTTGTGGAATCTTTAATAATCAATCACGGGATTTATGGCGCAGTTAAATCTTCTTTTGGAAATGTTAATTTTAGTCCGTGATAGTAAAATTGAAAGTATTTTAGCCCTCTATAAACAATGAACTCGAGTTAAATAGATGACTAATAAGAAATAAGAAACCAATATTTTAGATTATGAAGACTTGGTAAACAAGCCTCTGTTCATGTATGATTAATGTTAATTAAAGAGCAGTACCAAATAAACGCAAAACTGGTTACAATTAGGGATTATTAAGTAAACCCGTCTTGGCAATACAATTTCATAAAAAAATGACTGCTTTTTATTTTCAAATGCCATTTTCTATTGAAAAATAGATACCATTCCACTACTTTTAGTGTTTTTGCTCATATCGATATCGTCAGAATGTTGTTATTATCCTAACTGTATGATCATTTTTATTAATGTACTGTAAGATAATTTAAGTATAAAATATACAATTATGCATAAATAAATTAAATAGCCGTGCTAGAATCTGCAGTAAATGTGATATTTTGCAAGTTTGTGAAATTTAAATATTTCAACTTTATCGTAAATATAGTTAGGATCATTTCAAATACGTCATAATGACGTATTGATTATGTGAAGCACAGATCACACAACTTATTGTTATAAATTTTAATACCCTTAATTTTTTTTGATTTAGTTGCAAATGGATTTTAAGACAGAAGAACCTACAGCAAGAGCACTATATGACGAAATTTTACAAACTGCTTTTTTGCGTGTTATTAGTAATAATACACGAAAAAAAAGTAGACCACAACTAATTGAAGAACATGAGAATAGACTAAATTACTTTGATCATGCTTATAATAAGAATTTATTTGTTGTTTACAACACTTATGAACAAAAATACATTAAACCGACACCAAGAATCAAGTTTACAATCGAAAATAGAATATCAATAAAAAATTTACGAGTAAATGAAGAAAATTATGGAAAATTTTTAGTATGTCGAGTAATAGCAAGGTGTATGAAAATAAATGCCCTTTTAACTATCGTAGAAGACCCAGAAGGTGACGTGGAACGACTTGCTTTATATAATTTTAATCCGAAATCAACTGCACAAGAAAAAGGACCAATGAAACCACTTTCTGTCGATCAAGCCTCAAAGTATTTGCCTATTGGCACACAGATTATTATTGCAAATCCATCTTATCAAATTGCTGGTGACGGAAACGCTATTATTTATTCAGATAATCCGGATGATGTTATCATAGTCGTTGATAGTAATGTTCAACTACCCGATGCAGCATGGGCCACGAATCGACCAAAAGAAAGGTGTACTAATTTTGAAGATAGAAAATCTGTTGATGAATTTCGTTGTCGTGGAAACGATTATTTTATTTCAAATGATTTTATGGCAGCGATTCGTGAATATTCCGGTGGTATTAATTTAGAACCACATCACACTGCATTGCTTGCAAACCGTGCCGAAACTTATTTGAGATTACAAAAATTTAAAAATGCACTTGATGATGTAGAAGTAGTTCTTAGACTTGAGCCTGGCCACTTGAAAGCTGCTTTTCGAAAGGGTAAAGCACTTTGTGGTCTTAAACGTTATCAAGAAGCTATCATCGTACTCCGAGATTTGTATAAGAGGATAAAAAATCATAATGATCGTGGTGAGAACGTCTCGATTAAACAAAGTGTTGTGGAATTATTGAAACATGTAGAAGTGCTAGCTGGCGAAAGTCAGAATGGAAAATATGATTATATACGTATTATTGATGAACTACATGAAAAATCTAAAATTAAAGATAATAGAATTAATAAAATTGGTAATACCTGGATCCATCAAGAAGGACCAAGATTGGATCATGCAGATTACTTAAACGACGAGATTGAAATTCGTATTGCAGAAGGAAAAGGAAGAGGTTGGTTTGCTAAGCATGATATTCCAGAGCATACCCTTTTGATTGCCTCTAAACCGTTTGAAATTACATACTACGATGAAGCACCTGAGCATACACGATCTATTATTTCCAAAATTGTACCACCAGGTTGTATCATTGACTCATCTGTAGTAGTAGGAGTAGAATTAATGATTCGTATCACTCAAAAACTTTTAGTAGAACCAGAACGTTGTCGTGAATTTTATCAATTGTATTGTGGACCAAATTTAGTACCTATGGAAAAACTTAGTGAAGAGATGTTATATTGTGTGGATGTTAATAGAATTATGAAAATTTTTGCATACGATAGTTTTGAGCAAATTGATAGAACAAATAATATTAAACGTGGACATGGCGGAATAGGAATATGGATCATGCAATCTTATTTTAATCACACATGCGTCGATGCAAATGTTTACAGGCTTTTCTTTGGAAACTTGATGTTTATACGAACCCTTCGACCTATTTCAAACGGAGAGGAACTAGTTATCTGTCATTACGATTTGACACTTCCGTATGAAAGACGAGCACGTTATCTTAAATCAATGGACATAGAATGTCAATGCCGACTTTGCATGTTGGATATGTCAGAAGGACAAGTTAAATTTCGTCGGGAAAAACTCATCAATGATTATAAAAATTTGCTTGCCGATCCTTCTAAAATCAAAGAATTAGAAAGTATAGTTACCGAATTGCGCAGTATTCGAAAAGAACATCCTGAATTAGATCCTCGATCATTAGAGCCAAGTACAAACCTAGCATTTGTCTATGTAAATCGAGGAGATTTCAGAAACTCACTTCCTATTCGTAAAGAAATATACAATTATTCAAATGATGCAGTATTGTACCGCACAAGCGTTGTATTAGGAATTTCATTTGATTATTGTGCACTTGGAAAGAGGAAACATGCAAAATTATGGTTTGATAAAATTTTGAGGGAATTTGCCGAGTATATAAGAGGCAAATTTAATGATGATGAGATTAATTGGAGAAAAGAAGCATTAAGCTTGTTGGAAAGGTTTACACCAAATGATTTTTTATGTGCAAAACGTCTGAATTTGGCGTGAGAATTCTAACACTATTTGTAAATAGAATCATTTGCTATCTTTTTTTGTAAA